TCCTCCTCCCTCCCTATATCCTCCTCTTCCCTCCTTCCCTCCTCCCCTCCTTCCTCCCTCCTTCCCTTCCCTCCCCTCCTTCCCTCCCTCCTTCCTCCCTTCCTCCCTCCCCCGCAGATGCTCGAGGACCCCGTGGCCGCCCAGTACATCGACGGAACGGCCGTGCACTGGTACTCCGATCAGTGGGTCGGTCCCTCGGTCATGGACGAGACGCACATGCTCTTCCCGGACAAGTTCCTGCTCTACACCGAGGCTTGTGAAGGTATATGGTCTTGGGGAGGGGCTACTTGCCAATTATTACTACCGCTATTACCCACTACCATCACTACTACAACTACTATTATTACTACTGCTAACACTACTGTTACTACTATTACTACTATTACTGCTACTACTGCTACTACTACTACTATTACTGTTACTGCTATTACTATTACTGCTATTACCTCAATCACACCATCACTACTACTGACACTACTGTTACTATTGCTACTACTACGACTATTACTATTACTACCGCTACTCATACAACAACTACTACTGCTATTACTATTACTACTACTTCTACTACTACTACTACAATCTACTTACACTTTCCTCTCTTCAAAACAGGCTGGGACGCCCCCGCCGAGGACAGCGTGAGGCTCGGGCAGTGGAGTCGGGCTGAGAAATACGCTCATTCCATCTTGGAGGTTTGTATTAGAGGGGGAACTGGAGAGAAAATGGAAGAGGGGGAGAGAGGGAGAGAGAGAGGAGATGGAGGGAGAGATGGAAGGAGGGAGGGAGGGAGGGAGGGAGGGAGGAGAGGGGAGGGAGGGAGGAGGAGGGAGAGAGAGAGAGAGAGAGAGAGAGAGAGAGAGAGAGAGAGAGAGAGAGAGAGAGAGAGAGAGAGAGAGAGAGGAGAGAGAGAGAGAGAGAGAGAGAGAGAGAGAGAGGAGAGAGAGAGAGAGAGAGAGAGAGAGAGGAAGGAGAGGAAGAGGAAAAAGGAGAGGAGAGGGAGAGAGAGAGAATGGGAGGTAGGGGGTGGGAGAGAGGTGGAGAGGGAGAGAAAGAGAGAGAGAGGAGGGATATTAGAGGGGGAAAGGGAGAGAGAGAGAGGAGAGAAATAAAACAGGAGAATAGTTGGACGAAATAAAACAAAAGAGGAAGAGCGAGAGAGCGAGAGCGATATCACTCCGATTCAGTTTCGAAAACCCTTTCAATCCACCATTTCCAATTCTCTTGATATCAAAAGGTCTTTCTAATCCATTCATTCTCCATCCTCTTAGTTTAAAAGCTTCTTTCTGAATCATTAACCCCCATTACTTATTTCAAAACCTCTTCTCAATCTACTCATTCCTCATTCACCAATAATAAAAGATAAAAGAATATAGACACTTTACCCCATTTTAAAATTTCAAAACCTCTTCGTAATCCATTCATTCCCCATTCAATTTCAAAAACTCTCTAAACCATTTCTATTTTCTCTCTCTCTTTTTTTTTTTTTTTTTTTTTTTACTTCAAAACCTACTTCAAAACCTTCCTAATCCATGCATTCCCCATTCGATTTAAAAAACTAAGCCATTTAACCTTTTTTCATTTTTTACTTCAAAACCTCCTTCCAATCCATTCATTCCCCATCCACACACTGTTAAAAACGCTTTCAAATGTTTTTATTTTCTCTTTCAGAACATCAATCACTTTTCGACGGGTTGGGTTGACTGGAACATGGCGCTGGACATGGCTGGTGGACCGAACTGGGCTGATAATTATGTGGATTCCCCGATTATCATCAATGCTGTAAGTCCGTGGCGGATGTTCTAGATCTTATGACGTTTGTTGTTGTTATCTGAGAGTGGTTGTAGTTTTGTTTTAGTTGTTAGTGTTATTTTCTTGCCTTTACAGTATTTGTCGTTGTCATCGGTATGGTAATTATATTATTATCATTACTATCACCTACTCATACTTACTATTATCATAGTCACTGGTTTATTATTATTACTAACGATTTTACAAACAGTTGTGAATATCAAAACAACTGTTCTCACAACCATCATTACCAAAACAACCAATCTATTTATCGGATCTTATTGCCATTACCAGGGCTCCAATCACCACAGTTCTCAATTCTCTCCACTTCTCCCCTTCACTGCAGGACGCCGACGAGTTCTACAAGCAGCCCAGCTTCTACGCCATGGGCCACTTCAGCAAGTTCGTCTTCCCTGGCGCCAAGAGGGTGTTCTCTACCACCGTGTCTGAGGAGGACGTCGAGGTGGTGGCCTTCCACGAAACCGGGGGGAGGAACGTCTTGGTTTTCCATAACAGGTGAGAGGAGGATGGGGGAGGGAGGGAAGGGAGGGAGGGAAGGGGTGGGAGAGGGGGAGGGAAGGGAGGTGGGAGAGAGGGAGGAGGGGGGGAGAGAGAGGGAAAGGGAGGGAGAGGAGAGAAGGAGAGAATGGGAGAAGGGAGAAGAGGGGAAGCAAAGAGGGAGGAAAGGAGGAGGAGGAAGAGAGAAAGAAAG